GGCGATGCGAGAAGAATTGGGAAGGTAACGTCTACCGATCTCGAGGAAGAGCTAAGAGAGGTACATGCTCTTGTGAGACAGCGAACTCAAGTTATGAGTGACAAAATGAAGGCCAGGTTTGACAAGGCGATGAACTCTGAGGGTTTCCAAAATGGAGATTTGGTGTTGCTGTACAATCATCCACGGAGTTTGTCCCCAAAACTACAATGTAATTGGGAAGGTCCATATAAGGTAATCAAAGGACTAAACGACGTAGTTATCGGATCCAATCCGTTAGGAGTCCAAGAAACAAGATGAAAGTGGTCCACCTGGAGAGGCTTGCTGAGTTTGGAACAGCGAATGTGTCTTAGGTGGAGGGCAGTGTTGCGAAAATGCGAGGCGAATGTCAGATGAAAGAGAGAAGCCGATAACTAGTACCTTCTAGAAACGATAAAACAAGAACCTTCGATAGCGAACAACTCGATGCTTCTACGCTTTCGTCTGTGAGCTGCCGACTGCTATATAAGGGGACACTCAGCTGCAAAGTTAAGTTAGTTAAAGTGAACTGGTTGGCGTTAAGATCAGTAAAGTCGTAAAGTAAACGTGTTGGAGATTACATTTAAGTAAAGTAAATTGTGAAAGTTGATGCTAGTGATTGTAAATAGTAAAATGCATTGTAATTGAATTGTGAATTACTGAGAAAATAAAGGACACTAGATTAATTCTTTATAACGAAAGAAAACTGCAAATTAATTGGCGAGTTTTTATTTAACAATCCAGAGGGTACGATCCCGAAGGATTCAGGAAATAATCGAGGTTGATTTAGCAAAATCGTAACAATATTCAGCAATAAATATGGAAATTGGTGCCGTACCATGTAAAATATTATACAAATTAAACAGTATTCAACAACAAAATATAAAAACAAAACAAAATGAAAATTTACCGCTAGTTTTAATCCAATTATTTTAATGCTGTTATTTTTTTTTTCGCTATTTCCATTCGCGGTAAGTGAAAGTCTCTTTTAAAGTTGATTAAATTAAGAGATAAAACTTTATTTTTTCAAAATGAATTCAGTTGAAGCCGGTAAGTAAAAATTATAACGATCATATTATGTATATATACGTTAATAAAATATATTTATTTAGAAATTCCTTCCACCAGCAGTGGAGTGCGTGCTACTAATGTGCTGACTGCAGCAGAGGTAGCGACAATGTGGAATCACGTACGCGTATATTTAGAGCCGGTCACAAGGGAACAATGTATTAAATTTTACGAACATAATGGACTTATTTTAAAATCAAAATTGTGTCCAGTTCACAAAAGTTACATGTCGGTTAGTGATGCGGGTAATGAAACAGTGGGCACATTTAGGTGCAGCAAAGGAAGCTGCCGGACAAAGGCAACAGTTTCGACGGTAAATAACCTAAAAATATTGGGAGTAACCCTAGACAGCCTGCACTCCTTCACTCCGCATACGACCGCAATTGCCGCGAAACTCCAGAGCCGCAACAAAATACTCGAAGCGCTAAGCGGCAGCAACTGGGGTAAAGATAAAGAAATTTTGCTGGCTACTTAAAAAGCATTTGGCCAGGGACGAACGAGACGCAGATGAAGAAATCACAGGCTTGCCAGAAAACCGCCCTCAGGACCGCGCCAGGAAACCTCCTGATGTCGCCGGAGCATCACTTGCACAGGGAAGCATCTATGCTACGAGATAAGGAGCATAATGCTTTGCTGTGCAAGCAGTTCCTATTGAGATGCTACCTCAGGGAGCACCCCAGTAGGCACCTAATAGAGGCTGAACCTCCACCTAAGCACATCAGAGAGAGTACTAGACCTAAAGGACACAATCCAGCAACATGTACAACAACCGCTGGACAGGACGACGTACCGACAAGCACTGAATACCATTCACCAGGAGTCAGTCAGCACCTTCAATGACTTCCTTGCAGTGAATGGCGTACTCGGAGAAATACCACCATCTATAGGAGACAACGAGCTCGAACTGCCTCGAGAGACCCGCGTGACCCTGACACAACTCAGTAGGGCAATTCTCTATCGTATTATAACGATTTTCGGTTCGTTATAATGACTTAACGATATTTTTAACGATTTTGCTATTCTCTAAGCACAGTATAACGATTTTCGGATCGCAAATTAGACTTAGCGATATTTTTAACGATAATCGCTATTCTCTAAAATGGTATAACGATTTTCGGATCGCAAAGAAGACTTAACGATATTTTT